CAGCCCCCATGTCCTAGAGTGGCAGAATTTAGCCTAAATGATGTAAAGACTTTAAGAGAACAGTAGATTGCAATGACTGACAATTAAGTACTCTTTTCTTAAAGCCTTTTAGGAAAAAAAATTACAAAGAAATTTCTCACTATCCTTTTGTTTCTTGCTGTCATAATAGCTCTCTGTAGGCTTGCGTAGGCTTTGTACTAGTGCACAAAAAAAAAAAAAAAAAAGACAACAGGATCTTGGATAAGAAACTGCTGAAATATCCCTGGAAAAAGGATTCAAGGGCCATTGTTTACTATAGTCTAGCAGAATTTCCATGAAATTTTACCAGTTCAGGCAAGAAAATACTCCTCCACTCTGCTGCTGATGGAAGAATTAACTTTTTTAGGGACCCTGTTGATTTATGTTACTTTTCAGTGTAGTTTTGTTCTATAACTCACTGTAGTTTCAAGTAAAGTGCTAGAATTATTAAAACTGATGGATTTGGGTTTTTTTCCCCCTGAAGAAAAGGTTCTTCACACACCCCACCCTTCCCACCCCCATTTTGGATGTAATTGTTGTTTTTAATGATTGTAAGTGCTTCACTTAGGACTACATTCTGCAACCTGTTTGTCGATGCTTACCTGAGGATAGCTACATGTGTTTAAGGTGTTCACAGAACTGAGGTCCTTGTATTCATTTTACCCTTAAATAAGGGAGAGATTTTATTTATTTTTTCACAGAACAGCAGAGGAACGTCAGGTCCCTATCCCCCATTACCCTTAGGAGTCAGAGTGGCTCTCCTGTCCCTGAGGGATTCAGCATATGCTCGGAGAGAGATTCCATTTGTTGTATACTGCCTGTAAAACAACAACAGCAACCAAGGAAACCTCACCCAATCCAGGGAGTCTGCCCTAATCTGTTCAGCGAGCTTGGCTATTGGGATGATACAGCTCTCCTCCTGGGTGGGAGGGTTTCAGGAAAGCCTAGTAGTTCCTGGGAATTAATTCTTGGGGACCAAACAAAAACCCCTTAAAATGGATGAAATGCCTCCCGGAGAGTTCACTGCGTTTTCCTCAGCCAAATCCTACTGGTGTATTTGGGCAGGATCACTGTGGCTGTGCTTCTGCATACTAGTAACATAAGAAGTTGTGCTCTCACCATGAGAAGAGGCCTGGAGAAAGCTGTGCTCCCAGGAACCAGTGGCTCTCGGCTGCTGCTTGTCTTTGCTGTCTCTTAATGGATAGACATGATGGCAGCAGCTGCCTTTATCCAGGGTTGAATAGGTTGGGAATACCTCATCTGGCCAGCATCTTGTCTGCGTCTGCCCGTGCTAACACAGGCTGCCACGTCTGCTGGGCAGCTGCGTGCTTCTCTTCAGTGCGGCGCTTCAAAGTCAGAAGAGTCATTCAAAAGAGGAATCCAGATAATACAGATCAATGTCAGATACCAAGCCACAGTCTTTTGTATGCATTGTGGCTGCCATTGCTGGAATTGGTTTTCCCATTCTCTTCCCCCGAATTTTTGTTTGCTTGCTACCGGGGACATGGTTCCAGTAGCACAGCCTGTCACACGCTGACCTGTTGGCAGAAAACTGGCTTTTCCCCTCGTTAGCATCCCACACCTTTTATTTTTTAGGGTGATATATATATATTTAGCATGTTAGTTACAGTTCACATTGAGTAATTTATATGCTGTATCTAAGAGTGCTAATATTTCTCATGCTTGCCTCTTGGCACTTTTGGGATGGTTTCCTTTTTCCTGATGGAAAACTCTTGAGTATATTGATCTCAAGGCATATAAACCAGCATCGGTGATGTCAAGGGCATCTGATTCAGGTAATGCTGATACAGAGATAATCTTGAATTTTCCTTGAATATATGTCAATAGCATATGCTAGCTGGGAATCTAGAAGAAATTAAGTCTTGGAGAAACCCAGACAGCAAAAGATCAAGGAATACGGAACAGGAATCTAGAAAGAACAGGGAGTGAGGGAGGTATGGACTGCAGATACAGATGGGCAGTGGTAGCAGTCCTCTTTGCCATTGCAGCATCAAGCAGTGATTTGAAAAGCACATAATGCCATTGCTAACAAAGAGGAAGAGATCTTGCTTTAGAAATAGAAGTGAGAAAGATTCCTCCTACAGCAGGCACACAAAGTTTTCATCTTCCCACTCACACCACTGCTCCAACAGCATGCAGTCCTGTTTGCATCCTGGCAATTTGCATCCTGGTTTGAGTAAGTTGGGAGGCTGGAAGTTGCAGTAGAGGAAAGTGCAATTGCTGAACCCCTGCTGATGGCAGAACACCCCATGGAATGGGTCTGGAAGCATTCCGTTCCCTCCTAGCTTGAGCTTCACGTTTTCTGTCTTGTGGGGGGGAAAAAGGTTTACAAAGATTTTTTTTTTTTTTTTTTTTTAACTTAAAAAAAATAATTCAGTGATTGCATATTGGATGAGTAGCTTAAACATACTCATCCAAGGCAGCTGTAAGCAGCCAAAGTCCACTTGAGCTGGGACTGAATTTGTCCCATTGTCTCTCCTTCACACCCACAGTACAAATAAAAGCTTCAGCTTCTTAGGGCTGGGTGGGAGGGAGGAGGCGGGAAAGCCACTGGAGTGTGGTGTGGCACTGACAGTTGATGTGCATTCCTTGAAAGCCTGTGCTGCTCATCACTTCTGGATATAGCAGTATGACACGTCACTGGGAGACAGGATGCAGTTTGTTGGGAGTGGGGCATTATGACGGGTGCAGGATCTTTACGGGAGAGTTAATGAGAAGTCAGCATTGCTCCATAAGGGATGGGGGAGAAGCAGTGTTACTTGTAAATTGGGCTGCAATCTTCAAAAAGTCAATCTTTGGCAGGAGTTACATTCGAAGGGGTCATTTTAGTTCAGAATGATGTTTACTTTCAACTGTTCTTTAAATAATTTGGGGCTGTGTCCCTCTGGAGTAGAAACAGCAGTGTGGACTGAAGGGCTTCTGCTATCAGTTAACTCCAGCAAATAGACTATACAAAAGTAATTTATCTTTGATACTTGAATAACAATATTTACATTGCACTTTCCTCCAGAAGGAGGCTATGGACATTTCTAAGTGGTGTACAAGAGTCTCCCTCACTAAATAGCAGCTAGCTCTGTGGCAGAGCCAAGTTGCTCTTTAGCACTGCAGGGTTGCAGTTTGGAATGACTTAAGGCAAATAATATAGAATATGAAATCCAAGTAATCCAGAATATGAAAGGATCATTTAAACCTGCAGAAGGTATTTATGAAACTGGAGTTTAGCTAGAGCTAGTAACATCTGTGGAGTTGTGCTAAGTGCAGCTGACTCATGATTCTCAAACCACCAGGATTTTCTTTGGATGCTTCCTCTCCCTGGCACAGTATGTTTTCAGAAGTATTGCTGCTCCATGGGGCACTTAGATCAGACCGAGAGTGATTTCATTTCAGCTTGAACTGCATTCAGAACCAAAGTAAGTTATATAGGTAGAAGCAATCTTATTTCAGAGTTGAGTGTGCTCATATGCTGATTATGTCAGTTTAATTTGCAGCATAACTTAAAACTTTCTAGAGAAGACAGGTCCTTAAAGATCACTGGTTGCTGTGAGTTCCCATATCTTCTTGATACAGATAGCTGCCGGGCTTTGTCCTCACATGGTGGCCAACACTGCTAGAGGGTGCCTTTTAAGAAACATGGTATAAGTGAACAAGTTTGGGGAAGGGTGGCCACGTCATGCCCGTGTATCACTGCCTGCAATTTCACTTGTATTTTTCACTTCTACAGAAGCACAGTGTAGCAGACAATAAAAATCCCATATCCTAAGCACCCAAATCATCAGATCGGTATCCCTGCTAGAGAAGACGTGGTTGTTTTTGAAGGTGGATTTTTCAAGGCGTTGAGCAATGACCTAAACTCATTTTCAGTGAAGGCAATGCCTCCAATTGGTTTTGGTGAACCACATGTTAGGCCGTTGATAAGCACTTCTGTAAATGCAGGCTAATTGCCAAGTATGTGTGATCTCAGAAAAAAAAAAAAACAAACAAAACAAAACTCAGCACTAAATTGTCATGCACAAGGATTGTGCAGCTCCATTTTTTTTCTCCAGCGGGGTATCATGTTCTAGCAACAGAGGAAATGAGCCTGCTGTCCTTGTTTATAGAGCACTTTGGGAACCCTCTGAGTGTAACAGGAACACCAGTGGGCTGTGGTTCTCTCCCACCCGGGTTTCAGTTCCAGAGCATGAGACTTTTTCACTCTCTACTTTTTTTTCCTCCTTTCTGCCTGTGCGAGGGAGCACTCAGCGGGTTTGTGAGCAGCTGTTCTGTTTCCTTGTCTGCCTGCAGCGGTACCCAGACAGCTGCACTGTGGCAGCCAAAGGTGGCCAGAGCAATGCCAAGCTTCGTTAAAAAGTAACAAGATTGGGAAAGAGGGTGGGGAGCAGGAAAATCCGTGACTTGGAATAGATTCTACAGCACACTGTGAGTGGATGCTGGGGGACCTGGGGGACCTCCGTGTCTAACTAGAGATGTTTTCTATGCATCTGTCACAGTAAGTCTCGCCTGCTGACTTGGAGAAAGCTGTTAATCATGGGGTGATGCCGAAGTTCTCTGGGAAAGGAAGTGTTACTGACAGTGGCAAACAGCTTATGTTCGTGTCTCATGGAAACTTAAATGTGCATAAGTGTGTGTTCAGCATCTGCTGTCCCCATACTGTGTGACTCACACCCAGAGAGGGTCAGGTGTGGCTAAGAACAGGCCTGTGACGTGCACCATGACTTTATTTCTTGCAGGCAGCTTTCTTGTGGATGGTAGGGCATTATATTTAAGTATTTGTCCATTCTTGGTTTTATGTGCATGTTTTTCCAGTGATGATCATAGTGTCTGTTTCATGGTTCCGCCTTTGAGCGCTTAGAAATTAGAGAGGAACAATTAGTTCAATGTGCGTGAATCTATGTGGTAGGTTTGTGGCATGTCAGGATTTCAGCTTTTGCCCAACTTTAATATTACTTTTCTTTGTATTTCAGAAAAAGGCATGGCATACAATTAAAACCATGGTTAACTTACCAGTCATCAGCCCCTTCAAGAAACGCTACTCGTGGGTGCAGCTGGCTGGGCATACAGGTGAGATGGATATCTTCAATGTGTTTGTCTGCGGGGTAGGAATGGCAGCAGCACAGAATATATTGTTTCAGTGTTTTTCTGTTTTCTTCCTTCAATTAAAAAGGAAGCAGGCAATATCATGTAAATCTGTGAAGCAGAACATCTGTCTTTCAGTTGCAGTGGGGACAGGGAAAGGGAAGGAAGCAGTGGTCAGACTCTGGGGAAGGGCCAGGTGCTGATGAATCCTTCTAAGGTGATACATGTAAAATACCCGTTAGAGGCAAAACAAGAGGGACTGGGGAGTTGAAGCCCTATCCATCTGTTGCTGTTGGTTGTGCTATGGGATCATCTTTCTTGACTGAGTAGCCAATATGTTAGTTCCCTAGTGGGAAGGATTATGGTGAGCGCTCCACTCCTGGCAAGGACAGTGTTTCCAATACCAACACCAACCCCCTTGCGTGAAAAACAAATCCCTGAAAACTGACTTGCTGACCAGGTGTTTGCATTGCGAGTCTGTCATTGTTCACTGTATGAGTGCAAGGAGCAGCTCACTTGGCTGGTTCTAGTTTTCTCTCTGTAGAAGTTGGTAAGTCTGTTCCTGATGTAGGCTTTGCTTCATTGCTAAGGCAAAAAAAAACAACAAAGGGAAGTCATTAGGTTTGCTTCTCTCGTGCTTCATTTAATTCCTATGCAGCCCTTGTTCCTCCGTGCTTGTGTGGGGTTTATTAGTACACATGTGGGCAGGCACCTACGCTGCATCGTGCTTTCAGGCAGTACCTGAGACACCTCTTTATATGCTAATACACTAATATGGTGCACTGCAAAGCTGTGCAGAGAAATTTATTTAGTCCTAGAGATGGAGCAGCTGCATTTTGCACAACAGTGTTGGAGGGGCTGACTTGTATTGCACAGAGTGCCAAGATGACCCCATCTTGCTGCAGTTTTTATTTCAGTGTGTACGGGGTTGGCTTGGTCTGTGGGGAGTGGTGCACTGGTCGTGTCATCATAACCCTTTTGAAGGCTTGTGTAGTAGGGTGGAAGAGGGAGGGTTAAGAGGTTACTAGAAGCTGATTAGGAGAGATACTGCTTCAGTTTGCTTTAAATAGTTTTCTGTGGTTGCATTTATTCCACCCTTTTTGCAGCTGTTCTTCTCTGATATGACAAGTTCTTTCTAAACTAAAACCTGGGCCATCACCACCCTCGGCCTTGTGCTGTGGCAGTGCCAGTTCCAGGATTTGTCAGAGAAGAACCAGTTTGCAATGGCTGAAGGATCCTGCTGTGATAAAAGTTGAGCGTTAGCCCCAGGCTTAATGAGGCTCCTAGTTTGGCATGTATTTTGTGTTGTGTAGATTAAAAGGGACCCCCTCTGAATGAAACATGAGCTTTCCACAGACGCTGTTGGCAGGTTGCAGGACAGGAGAGTGTCTGGACAAGGAGACTCCAGATACCTGGAGTCTAATTACTGCTAGTCCTGGCCTATGCAGACTGTCATTTGGACTGGATACCATTCAGACACACGGTTGTAAAAAAAAAAAACAGTTGCACTACAGGCTGCACCTGCAGATGAGCAGGGCTCTGGAGAAGAGGCAGTACCTGGCTGTACACGCCTGCGCAGTCACTGCATGTGTGTGTGTGTGTGTGTGAAGGGCAGTGCTTGGCTTCTGGCCTGCTGGTGGCTGTTTAACGATCACTGATTGTCCGTGCCGCCTCGGTAGGCACACCCGCAGCAGGTATACCCTACCTGAGGATTGAGGACAAAGCCAACAGTGATAGTGTTATGCAGCTTTAAAGTAGCCTGTCAGAGGATTAATGAATTCTGACTCACAGCTTCTTCCTGTGCATTTTAGTAAGTATAGTAGTGTTTAATATCCTAACAAAGAGTTTAGCATGGAAAAAAAAAAAAAAAAAAGATGGCCTGGAGCAGCTGCACTCCTTAAAGCTATAAATTCTAACATGGGAACGTATCCAAACGGACTTTCACTGCCAACGGCTGTGTTTGTCCTGGGAGTCTTATTCTTTTATGTAAAGCATATTATCTTTTCTGTTCAGGGGAAGTCTTTAACTCATGTCATGAAGCTGGAGTGCTGGGGGAAGGTGTTTTTCTTTTTTGTGGGTCAGTCTTATCACCACGTGTTTGATTTTCTTTTCTAGGGAGTTTCAAGGCAGCTGATAGTGGAAAGATTCTCAAACGCTTCTCAGAGAATGAAAAGGAGTGTTTTGAGCGATTGATGAAAGACCCTCTACGCTCCTGCGTCCCTTGCTTCCACGGTGTGGTGGAGAGAGATGGCGAGAGCTACATTCAGCTGGATGACTTGCTTACTGATTTTGAAGGGCCTTGTGTGATGGACTGCAAGATGGGGATCAGGTGGGGTACATGAAAGAGAAAGTGCTTTCTAACCCAAATGCATTTGAAGGAAGGGGGGAGATGTGGTCATGCTCTGTCTAGAGAAGTTTGGTAGCATTTTGAGAGCCTTGGGATTCAGTCCAGACAACCTGTTGTTGGTTTGGCAGTCACCTTGGACAGCCTGAGGGGAAACTATGTCCCCCTGTTACCTGATTGTATATGGATTCTGGAAACTGATCTGTAGCCTCAAAAACTATCCATACTGAGAAATTTTCAGGGGTGGTTTAAGATATAGTTTCCCTGCAGTGGCCTAACAATACTTGGGAGAAAAAATGACATGATTCATTCACTACCAGTTCATTTAATCTTTGTGTATTCAGTGATTCAAGAAACCCTATGGCGTAAAATTCTCATCTCGGTGTGAATGACTGAGTAACAGTGTGAAAGCCCATTTCCAGCGCTTGATTGAGTCTTGGTATTGATCTTTTCTGTAGAGAGTTGACCATGTACTCAGGACTGACCTGTGTTTTTTCCCTACTCTGACATCTCTGTGATGCTATCACCTTGTTCTCCAGACTCTCACTTTTCTTTTCCTTTTCTTGTCTGTGATTAAGGAAAACCTCAAAAATGTTATCTAAGCATAACAACGAGATAAGAAATCTGTTGAGAGCCTGGAGTAACAGTACAGAGAGGTATGAACTGTCGTAATAGTCTTTTGGGTGTCAGCTCAGATGCTCAAGAGTTATTGTCATAAATGAGTTATTCAACTTACAGGAGTGCAGATGAGCCTTTTCAAATAGATGCAAAATCTTAAACGAATTAGCTAAATCAGAATAGAAATGTGTAGCACTGCTATGCCCAGAAGAAAGAGTAGAAGGATTTGCAGTGCAGTACATATTTTATTCAAAGTAGGTGACATTCTGGTAATGAGTGACAGCATCTCCTAAACACTAGCCTGGCTTATTATGCTGTGATGAAGAAACTACGCTTCAGGCACCTGACAAGGTGCAAGCTTTAGGAGTCCAGAGGAATGTAGAACGTAGTGCCTTTCTAAAGGTTACCAGGTGGACAGGGTTAAGTGTCATAACAGCAAAATGTGGAAGGCTTGTCACCTTCACCTTCCTGTTCTTCGGGTTAGCTCTTCTGGTTTGGAACTGCTTTACTCTTATTTTGATCTTCTTTACTCTTTAATTTTTACTATATGAAGAGTGAATCTGTCTTTCACTGTGATACATTAAGTAAACCCTTAATTGCCTTCTGAGGCCTAAAAAGTCACACATGACAGATGTTAGCTCTTTTTTTAGGAGAGAAGAGACAGTAAGACTTCAGCAGCCCCATTTGCTTTTGATTTCATTGTAAGTGATGTCTCCTAACTGTCCTCTGAAAACACAGTTCTATTTCATGGCACAGTAGGAATTCAGCTTTCTTTTATTTGCAGTTGTAACAGTAACATATAACAGTAAGTAAAGGTATAGTTAGAACAAATGCATGACACAATTCCCGATTCCTGTGACTGTTTCTTTAAATACGCCTGTGCAGTCATCAGTCTGTGTTCTTTAGTTTCCCCATATGTGAAACTGGGGTAATGATAACACTTAGTTAACGTTTCTTGAGGCCAGTTTATAAGCTGTAAAAAGAAACGTTTGAGTAGTCCTTACAGTTTTGTTGGGATGTGGTGTTTTTGCAGGACATACCTGGAGGAGGAGTTGACTAAGGCCCGTGAGAAACCAAAGCTGCGTAAGGACATGTACAAAAAAATGATTGAAGTTGATCCTCTTGCTCCCACGGCTGAAGAGAATGCCCAGCATGCTGTCACCAAACCCCGATACATGCAGTGGAGGGAAACCATCAGCTCTAGTGCCAACCTGGGCTTCAGAATTGAAGGGATTAAGGTAATAATTTCCCTTCTGCCTGTTCTTGGAGGCCGAACTTGTTGGATTTTTTTTGATTAATTGAAAAGGTAGTGTGCATCAGTAGCCAGGCTTTCCAAAGGACTATGTGAAGTGCACTAATTGAATCCACAGAGTTCACTGTATTGTGGTTTTAAAACATCTATTGTAATTACAAGAGTTGTGTCAATGAAGTGAAGCACCAAATGCACATCAGCCATACTTGGTTCAACCGCAGAGACGTTGCAGGAAGGACTGAAGCAGGTACACAGTGTAGATAGAATGAAAAGGAGACAGTTATAAGGAAGAATTCAGAACTGAAGAAATAACTGCCTCTCCCCATGCAATTACTTGTTCTATCCAGGAACTATACATATTTATTCCAAGTGAATCACAGTAAAGTGTTTTTGTTCCAGTTATGTTTATTTGCAAGGTATGTTAAAAGCATTAGTTTAGATGCTCTTGGGATTGAGGAAACCCCTCCTTTTAAGTACATGACAATATCCAGTATAGATGGAGCTGGAATAAAGCCGAAACAACCAAGAATAAAATTTTTCCATCAACAAAGTCCATCTGCTGTTCCTGATGTATATCTTTGTGTCCCTGTACCATTCCTAGGTACTACCTTACCGCCATGAAAGAATTTAGGCAATTTTCTTTCCTGCGCATTAATTCTTTATATTTGTTGTGCCCCATGGCAATGTTGGGTACCCACCCAGAAGCCCATTAGGACCTACTCTCAGAATATCAACCACCTGCCTCAGTTACTTCAATGCTGACACTTGCTGGGATGCAGAAGCCTGCTTTCTGCTTGCAGAGGCCTCTCACAGCTAGCCTTAAACTGGTTCCCTTGGGTTTTGGTGGTGGTGTACCTGTAGCTGCACAGAGTGTGGTGGGGGTTGCCCAAACCCACCCCCCCCACCCCCCTCCGGATGGGTACTTGTCACCTGAAGCCTGTGGTGGGACAGCTGTGAAGAGGTCAGCAAGGGTTACCCTGTGTGATTTCAGCATGTTCCCAGAGCACACACATTTAATTTAGATAAATTAGGACATTGCAAACTGTAATCTGGATTAGTTTTGCTTCCATCTCATAGTTCAGGCGTGTAGGAAGAATAAAGGGTTAAAAGAAGGTGATGCTGATGAGCCATGGCTCTTTAAACACCCCTTTCTTTGCTTCCCTGTGTTGTCTTCTCCCTTCCTCACTCACAGATTCTCCTGCTGTGATACAGGAACTAGGGCTTCCAGCTCATGCTGTGCTGGCCCCCTGCACGCTGTGCCTCCCACTCCTGGCTGTTAAGACACAGGCATCCTCAGGCAGGATCCGTCTGGGCGGTAGATGATCTGGCTCCCGGCCAGCCAAGACACTTCCTGTCTTACCCTTTAGCCATTTCATGATGTTATCAATATACCTGTTTTAGTCCTGTACCATCTTAGGTCTTTTGGGTGCTCTGTGTAATGGAATCAGAAGCCCAGATGATCTTGAAACCTTTTACATATGTTCTTGGGAAGATAGTTAGTCAGCGTAGAAGTCGTACAGATTTATGCTGAATCCTGGAGAGTGACTGAACTAAGGGAGCACAGGAGAGCTCCAGTAAAGCCTTCTGATTGTTCTTTGTGGTTTGGTTGGCTATCAGAGGTGGGTAGGAGCCATATGGCACACAGACTGCATGATGTTTCTGTTGCAGACGCTGCTGTAACTGCAGAACAGGACACAAATACTTAGTCCTTGGAGTAATGTAGTACATTACCTTTTCCTCTTATCTCCCTGTGCTGTTATGAGGGATATAGGTATCACTTCCTCTTTTTTTTTTTTTTTTGTGTGTGGGGTTTTTTTGTTTATATGGAGAAATGGTGACAGAAAGTGATTTGTTCAAGCAGAACAGCTAGTCTGTACTCCCTGCACTGTTTCACCGTAGCTGAACTGTGCATCCAGTTCTGTGTATTTGCAGAAAAGCAAAGCCGTGCTGCAGAGATCCCCATTTTGAGAGGAGAGCCTATAAGGATCAGTGGTGCCAGCTAGTGGCTGATGGAGAAAAAGGGGTTGTTCTCCCTGAGTGCGCTGGTAATTCCTAGAGTTGGCTGAGCAGGTATCTTGGGTTCGGTCATTCAGAAATAGTCCTGCCCTGGGGCCACTGAAGTAAGAAGTGGAAGCAAAGTAAGTGAAATCATAGAGGCCTTTTTGTGAAGTGGCTGCCGATAAATGAGATCTGATCCACTGTATGCACTCCTTCTTCCTTAGTGGGGTACCTTTTTAGCTTGATTCATCTCTTTTCCTTGCCTTGCTTCCATATCTCTGAAATTGAGCCAGGTTCATCTATGGGGTTTGTCACTCTTCCTCTTACAAAAAATAGTTGGAACCGTTGGGTTTCCTTACAGCTGGCACCTGACACTCAGTCTCTTGTGCCTGCCAGATTCAGAATGCAGGTTTCCTCTCTGGAAGGGGCTGTCTGAAGGTTAGGCATCTCAAGCATTGTTTCTATGTCCCATTTGCAGAGCAGGGATGCATGGGGCTGAGAATCAGGAGTTCTGGCTTCCCATTCTGTCACTGAGTCTCTGTGCAGTTTGGGAAGTTAACTTTTTCCTTCGGTACCATTCCTTCAGCTGTAGATCTGGGATAGCCCATTTCCCAGGAGGACATCAGATTCGATTCATAAACCTCTGTGAATCCATTTAGGTCACGACCTTAACCCCAAGCTCTTTAAGGCAAGTCCGCAGAGGAACCTGAGAGAGACTGGGAAGGTTAAACTAGGTAGCACTGTTCTGTGGAGCCACCAAGCCTGGCCTCCTGCCAGCCATCTAACGAGAAGTGCTGCAAGTGGCCCCTGAGCTGCACTGCGCAACAGACCGCTCTGCCGTGCAGGAGTGGATGGGGAGCCCTCCACAAAGGTGTGACTCCAAGGAGCGAGTCAGGCAAGTGCCTCCCGGGGATCAGGTACATCTGGAGTTGTTGCAAGGACCTGCTGTAGAATACGAGGGATGGTGTCATTCAAAACCTGAATGTTGTTAACAGCAAGGAAAGACAGGCAGCAGTTACGTTTCCTGCCAACCACTGCAAAGGAACAAAATCCATAAAAGTGTTTCTAAACACCAGGGAAGCGAGCAACTGCTCTGTCCAGACAAAAATGGATGAAAAGGGAACGCACAACAGCTATTCCAGACTTACTCTGGGATTTGGGGCACAGGGAGAAATTATTTTTAAAACAGTCTTACTCCAGTGAAGAGGTACGAGGCATCAGACTGAGTTCCAGATTTCTGTGTGCTGTTGAGTATTACCATGCACCAGATCAGATGGCTCCCAACTTTCACTGCCTACCTGCTGAACTTCTCTTGCATAACTTACACATCTCATCAGGCTGACATGCCACACTTGTATCTGGCCCACAGCATTGGAAGAAAATTCTGTTTATTCTGCTGCTAGAAAGTCTGGTAGGTGGGAGGCTGTTCTGCATGGCTTTGCCATTCAGTTAGTTCATTCTCCTGCATGATAAATCTGGAAATTTAGCATTATCAGATTTTTTTCATGTATATACTAGGAGCTGAGTTCTGCTGTGGAGTAAATAGTGTTTCACCTGCTGAGACTGGAGCTGAATTTACCCAGTTTTGGTGCGGTGACTTAACACGTAGGAGGGAACATGTTTTGATGACCTGTTGATTTATAATGGAAATGAGGGATTTACTCAGACTGATACAATGGAGAGGAATACAGTTTGGCAATCCTGCAGGCTTTTAGTGGACACAAGGCTACCAACTGCAGTAATTGCTGTATTTCACATGCGCATCCTAAACGCTCCTGTTTGTGTCTCTTGAAGCAACAGGGGTGTTCTTGGAGAAATGCATATTCATATAGTCGATGTTGACAGATTTCTCTGATTCCAGCACTGCTCTTAGTTACTTGTAGCTCCACAAACACAAACTGGTCACTTACCAGCACATGAAAAGACTCGTTTTTTCAGCAGCAGGATGCTTCTGTACTGAGCCTTCCTGCTAGCACAAAAATACTCTGACTTTCTCCAGCACCCAGTTGGATACCAGCATGCCCGCGCTGTCCTCTGCCAAAATTCACACACCTGCTTTGTCACCGCTCGCATTGCCAATCCTGGGTTGTTCCTGACTGCAACTAGCTTTCCGTTCTGTGACTTCTGGGTCACATTAATATACAAAGGTATCTCAGGAACAGAGTCTTAACTGTAATTCTTTGATTTCCCCATTGCAAAACAAAACCAAAAAGGACTGGTAAAATTGGGTTTAAAAATGTCCCCTTACAGCCCCAGCCAGGGTTTGACTACACCAGGCTAGATGAGAGGACAACCAAAGAGGTCACTGTGGTTTGCCCCATTGAACTTTGCACTGCTAGTACTGGCACGTGAGAAAACCCTCCTGCAACTGGTAATATCGTGAGTTGTTTTTTTTTAACTGCACTGAACAGGAAATGAAATGCCATTTAAAGTTACCCAATCAGCTTTTGTATCTCTTCTCCTCCGCTGCTTGCTTGGTTTATCTGCTCTCTTCCTGTTCAGCTACTCCCTTTCATCTGGTTAGCAAGAGCTGAGCTGTTGATGGTTCAAGAGGATTGACTGATGAGGGGAATGATATGTGTGTAGCGTAAATCGTCTCTGTCTTTGTGCTTTTTTGTGCAGAAGGCGGATGGAACATGTAACACAAACTTCAAAACTACGAAGACGCAGGAGCAAGTTCTGCAGGTTTTTGTGGAATTCATTGAGGGCAACACAACTATTCTGGTGAGTCTGAACTCTTCAGGTTCAATGATCTTTGACCCAATGAACTTCCTTCAGGGCCATGCTTCCTCTGGTACAAGAAAAGTGAATTAAACTACCAAGGAAAAAATAGTTTTGACTTCCAGTCCCTCTCAGCAGATGGAGTGGACATGGGGACTTGGTGGGCTGTGAGAAGTAGTTGTCTGAGAGCAGTTCTGTCAGCTCTCGCCGTGAGTTCACCCAGAGTTCCTTGTGCTAGCAAAACGTCAGTCGAGCTAACTTACGGCTTGCCACCTTCGACCATGGGTGTTAGATGCATCAGAGGGATGACGATGTCTAAGCAAGGTTTGTGTTGGCAGGAAAACTTGTGATTTGGGAATTCAGTCTGGAGAGGCTAAAACCAGAGCATGGGGGCAGGAAGTGAGATTGGTGGCTGGCTGTGCTCCTGTGGGTGAGACTCGCCTCGAAGAGCAGCTCCTGCGCTGCTTCACGGGAGCACAGCAGGCGTGGGGTACGTGGCGTGACGTGTCTCTTGTCTTTGGAGCTTCAAAGGATGCCCAAGTGTTTTGCTGCAGTGTAGAAGCTGTTCTGAAGGCACATTAGCTCTCCGGGAGGAGCATGCTTGGTAACACAGGGCAGCATTAAAAATGTATACTGGAGCTTTATGCATTAGGCCTTAATTTTGTCATTACTTATTTTTAACCCCCCCACCTATGGTTGAAGCTCCTTGTCTCTAACACAATTTCATGCTTTTCACTGTGGAGAACTGAAAGATTTTTAATTGCTTGCAACTTTTTTCTCTTTATTACAAAGAAGAAAGAAGGGATGCAGAAAGTCTTACTGCATCTGAAGCAAGGCAGATGAATATGCTTGGTGTAACACACCCAGCAGAGAAACTCCAGGCTGTTCATTCACTATGAAGGCCCATTGAAGTGTATTTTCAGATTGACTTCCAAATGATGAACCTGTTGTTTTGAAGGACCTCTAGGACCTTGAAGGGCGTAAAATTAACATGATCTCTTCATTATATTGACTCTTGTTAACAGACTATCTTCATTCATTCCTTATTTAAATGTTTATGGGTTGGGTTTTTTCTCCTCTTCCTCCAGAAAAAATACCTCAAGCGTCTGCAGGAAATTCATATCATTCTTGAATCCTCAGACTTCTTCAAGCGACACGAGGTGAGCAGTAAGTGTAATGCTGTGGAGGTGCATTGCTGCTTTGTTTGGTCTTCAGGTGTACTTCAGCATAGCCTGCTGTATTAGCATCAAAGAGTTTGTAGTAGAAGAAAGCTAATATATGTTAACAACATGGACACCGCAAAGCTTCCATCACAATGATACAGAATATTAATCCAGTTGAGGAATAACAAATCCTCCCATCTTCTATCCCAGAATTTATAGCTCTGGGCTACTGCAGGGAGTGGTTTATCAGTACCAGTTTCCTGTGGTTTCTCTAATCTTGGTGTGTTCCAGTGGGCATCTTTACAGGGAAATGGCAACATGGAAGCTTGCATTTTGTACAGTAGCACTCACTTGTAGTTTGGCAGTGAAGGCCATATTAGTTATACTAGATTTATGTTGAAACACTGTATAATTCTGTTCTGTATGTTCTGCTTATATGCTTAGCTGTGGATAAGGCATCATTAGCACTGTACATTCTGCTTGTTACAGCTCAAGATTCTGAGATTCAGACATTTTACCTTGTTGATGTCTTGTTGTTGCTAGAAGCATTTTTGTTAATGATCGGTCATGGTCTGTCTCTGAAAGCAGTCACTGGCTTTTGTTGAATTGCTCAAATTGAGACCTGCTGCTCAGTGAGCTGGGGAATTGCTTTTCTTCCCTTTGTCTACAGAGTCCCTTTTGCCATCTACACGCCTGTTTGTATGTTACAGATTGGTTATGCAAATGGGGCATGTAAATTGTCAGTGTTTAAGTTGAGCCCAAAAGTCTGTTGGGTCACAGATGAGAAGGTCATCTGCGTGGCGAGAAGTGTTAAGCGATAGGGGAGAGCCAAAGCTGTGTTTTTAACCACGTCATCTCAATCTGTCTTCCAGGTCGTTGGAAGTTCACTACTTTTTGTACATGATGGCAGTGGGAATGCCAATGTGTGGCTGATCGATTTTGGAAAGACCACCCTTCTCCCTGACGGGCAGACACTGGATCACAGGATCCCCTGGCAAGAAGGCAACAGGGAGGATGGGTACCTGCTGGGATTGGACAATTTGATTGGCATCTTGGAAAGCATCACTGAAAGATGAGTTGAGAATGGCACAAAACTGGCAGGGCTTCTCTGTAACTTTCTGCTCTACTGGGCTCACTCAGTTAGAAGGAAACCTTTAACTCCCTTCAAACTCCTGAGGTCATCAGTGCAGAGGGAGCTGCATCCAGAACCCAGCAGTTAGTGATCAAAATGACTTTGCATCGGCCCTCTATGAACCTGAATAACTCCGGACTGGTCTGTATTGCACCAGCCCAGCTTCAGACTGGTCCTCAGAGAATGAAGATCTCTGTACTCAGGAATCACACCAGCATGAGTCAAGAGGTCTGTGTGGCAGCCCAGAATGATTCCAATTCCTGGCAAACAGATGGGACTCCAGATTACCTCTTAGTGAGCCAGAGCAAGTTCCTAGGGATTCAGGGTAGGAATACAAGTTTTCAGGGAACTGCATAGTTTTGAAACCAGCAAGAGTGTTTCCCCCCCCCACCCCTAATTCCAAGTCTCCTTGCTCCTGTGTACGCTATAGGTTGGACCAACAATTTCTGCTGCACTGTGTTACGGTGTGCACAAGGTGGAAATGGGAGACGATCGCAAGAAACCTGGAGCAAAGGGAGATAGCAGTTTGTAGTGGCTTGCTGTGGTAACTGCTCTTGACCATTCCTCCTCTCCCCTACCCTCGCCTTGATTCACTTCTATCCAAGAGCAGCCTTTGCTTTTTATGTAGCCTCTCAGGAGATTACAGACACTTTAGGGAGAGAATAGCAGCCTGTTGTCTCTAAACACAGTTGACTTTCAGGCTGGGTGGGCTGCTGGGCAAGTGCCTAGCTTGGCAAGTTTGGCCTCTTGCAGCTGAACTGCAGTTCTGAAAATCAGTAATGACTCTTCTGCACACAGACCAGGAAACTAGGGGTTCCAAGGCTTGTTTATTTTTAAAGATAAAAGCCCTGCACATGTGCACACACACGCACTAGTAGCCAGCAACTAATGTGATCTTTTACGATCGTGGTTGGACTGTCTCCTAATGCACGTGACTTCTTGGCCATGTTCTTGTTCCCAAAGATGATGCTGCCACTTAAGTGCATAGACTGGTGCAGCGATCAGGAGGGTAACGTTTCTGCGTTCACAGCATTACACTAATGGTGAGATAATTTCCAGGCACCCTTCCTCCAGGGTGTCAGCTGGTAACTCAGGGCAGTTTGGGGGAAGGAATGTCAACATATCACAGCCCCTAGTCCCCATCTGGAATCGCGGGGCCATCTGTGGTTCATTCTTTTGCTGTGGCCCAGGCACAGCCACAGAAAATTCAGTGTTTAGGTTAAACTGAGAAAGACTGAAGTGATTTATTGTAATGGCTTCACATACCTTCTCTGTTGGTTACCTCTAGTCACTTGAACAGTTCTTTAAATACTAGCAGTGTAAATACTATCAGTATTCACATGTTCGCTCACATTCCAGGTTTTAACATGAATAATGCGATGCAGTTTTCAAAATGAGGACATGACTTATATTACTATTCGATTGTTAATTGCCTTTCAACATCCAAAGCTAGTAATACACATTGACCAGGAATTGCTGTCTTTTGCTGGTGTCCTGTGCTCAGGAGAGGTTCTGAGAACTTTAGGATATGTGAAACTGACTCCATGCTTTGGGAAACTGCTATTTCAGTAATAATTATGATCATGAGCAAAAAAAGACTGCAGAGTCCAGATCCGGAATGAAATCTATCTATAACATTTGTAATTAGAATTGAAGATCCTAAAATAACTTCTAAAATGAGTTGCTTTAGATAACACACTACTGTACCAAGAGATCAGTCAGATTTCATGGCTCTTCCATCACCTCTAAACAAACCAACAGTATTCAAGCTCAGTTGTGACCTAAACATTAGATGACATTGGGTATCCTGTAGGAAGTAATGACATGTGGGAACATTTCATCCTAAAACAGAAGTTGCTTGAAACTGGTAATTATTTTTGCAGTTTGCTGCAAATTCAGACTTCTGCTGTGACCTCCAGAGTCCCTCTCAGTATGTTAATGAATTTTCCACTTAGATGTTTCAGAGGGTTTACACTTTTTTTTCAAGTGACAGCAAGCCTTCAATAGAGAGCACAGATATCATTCCAGATGCCTCCTAACTTTTGAACTGCTATGAGATGATGAACTAATCTGTGGTGAATTTCATACAATTTGAAACTAAAAGTCTTCCTCCTTCCCTGCAGCCAACAGGTAAGCCATTGGTGAGCAGTGCTTAAGGAGAATAGGAAGTAAACAGGTCTCACAGGGGAGGATGTTAATAACAATACCTTTTCTATGAAACTGCACTTGAAAGCAGTCCTACCATAATAAAAAAAAGAAAAGTTAGAAAAGAGACTGTGAAGGTGATAGAATTCATTAGTGGCTTGCCTAATTAATCTTCAGAGTTAAATTTCTTTCTTCTTTTACCACATCTGTGAATCTTTTGCACCAGTGTAACTTATTTTCTAGAGGGGAGAGTTAGAGGGTAAAAGTTCATGCTCAAATGTCAGTTGAGAATTTGAGACAAACTTTTAGAATGACTGTGGAGTACTAAAGGACAACTAGAAGCCATGTGGTACCAGTGGCTTGAAACAAACCAACTGCTGCTAGCACCTGGATGGTTTGCAGGACCTGGTCTTGGGGGAAAGCATGGAGAATGATCCATTCCTCTGCAGTAGTTGAAAAGGTCAGGGGGAAAAAAGAAAACCTTTGCTATGGCAGACCCTGGTCTGGAAACTCATTCTAGATGACAGATAGTTCTAGCAGGTTAGAGATGGCTCTTTTGCCTGCTAAGCAATTAAAAGGGAAGGAGCCACAATCTTCTGCTGCTGTTATAGGAAAGGAGAAGAGACAGCTTTTCATTAGCAAACTGCAAGTTGGGACTGCCGCTGAGCACTGGAGCTCTAAGGGGCTGGAGGCTCTGAGTGTGTGAGCAAACTCCCCTGGGGTGAGTTGGATACCTTGGCTCCCATCGCTGGCCCAGAGTGCCTGCCTACCCTCGCTTGTGAGAGCAAGGAAGTGGCACAGCCACCTTTCGCTGTGGAGCCGCTCGCCTTGAATGAGGGTCAACGTGATGCCTTTGCACAGGCATGTGACATAGAAGAGCTGGTGCGTGATGACCAAGGCTCTTGTTCACGTACACATCCAGAATGTAGTTCTTTAATGCCTCTGGGGAGATACTGCCTCACTCTGGAGCCACCGAGAGCACAGGAAGATATGCTGGCCCAGAGGCACTTTGGTGCTGAACAGCTAACCTCTGACTTTGGCACCAAGGTCTTTAAACTCACTAGTTAGATGCAGCGATGCGTACTGCTGTAGCTGCTGCATTCCTGTGTGAATCTAGCAGTAGGACTTCTCTCCCTCAACTTTGTTGGTGACTTGTTTTTTTGGCCTTGGACAACTGTCCTAGGCCTCAGTTTTGTTCCCATTTTACAGATGGGAATAGTACCTACTTACCTCACAGGAATGGTGTGAGGTCCATTATTGCTTGCAAGATGCTGTGAGATTCTTTGGAGGAAGGTGCAATATCGAAGGAAATGCACAAACAGATACATCAGCTAAGTTTAAAAATGATGGGTGTTGTGGCCCCATAAGGATATAAATTTGGATTAAATTTAACCTGTTGTAAAAATTAAATCCCTCAATTTTACACGGGGGGAATTCACTTAACATCTGATCCAGTTCCTATTATAGGGAAAGATTTCAATGGGAGTTGGACCAAACCCTTAAGTATCTCAGAGGGCTCTTGCTATTTTTTTTTTTTATTGCTGTTGTTATTATTTGTTAAGGTATTGAGATCAAATGGCCTGTATCATCCACATGCATCCGTTCTGAACACTACAATGCAATGCTGACCATGGTCACTTTTGACATTGACTGTATTGGTTGAGTGTTTGTTACTCTGAAGTGTGTATGCTACTAAATAAATGAGACTGAAGGAAAAATGACGTCCACTGTGATTTGGTCACAGGACAGCAATATCTTCAAGAATTTCCTTAGGGAAGGGACAAAAGCTATTTATTTCAGTGTTTCTTGTGCTTGTAGTCTTTAACATCTAATATTTCCTACAATAAAAATGGTTCTAAGAAATACATCTAGAAACTAGCATTGGAGACTTGGTTCCAAAACCCATCTTACCTGTGTGCAAAGAGTGCTTAGCCAGAGAGGGACATGGCCACCATTAGTGGCCCTTTATTTTGTGTCGCAAATCTAGAAGTATACACTTGTCCAGCTTTAAATTGCATAGAAGCAGGCGTGTCATCTACTTACAGCCAGTACTCACCCAGAAAGGTAAGTTGGCAAGAAGTGCTGCCATGGACAGAGGTAATAGAAACCAATTCAACTAAATGAAAGAGTCATGTGACGAGAGGGGAAGATGTTAGTGATGTCATGCCTAAGGCCTCTCCCCATGGGTGGGCTGCCAGGAGGAGCGAGCACAGCCCTGGCTACAGGAGCTCTGCTGCTCCAGGGCCTGGGGATGGGTCCCTGGCTGACACAGCTGTGAAGATGCAAATACACTGGGGAAAACTCTGCTCCCAGCAGTAGCCTTCTCCTCTCTTTCAGGTAAGTAGCAGGAGGGCACTGAAGCTGAGGAGTGAGTTACGCTTGCAGAAGCCCATAATTATTTCATGAGACTTGTGAAGCTTTCTTAGCGCACACCTGCCCATCGGCAAATCAGTGTAGAACTTACCTCAGGGAAAGGGTTGATATGAGGGGGACACCTTAAATCTGTGCAGTTAAAAATTCTGTTTCTTTAAAGGGAAAATGAGGATACAAAACGAGGAGAGAAGAGATGACAAATCAGAAGCAAGAATATCAACATATGTGAAAAGAAAGCAGAGAAAGACAAATTGAAATTTGCATTAATTCATCTTTTCTTATTCAGTCCCCTCTTTAAAATGTAGGTATGAGATTGTGTGAAGCAACATGAAGTACTAATGCTGACCCCTAGAAGGAAAAAACCCAACAACTCTATACACACAAATCTAAAACCAAGTTGGTAACATGTTAAAAGACAGATACCCATCAGGAAGAGCAATTTATAATAATCCTGTAAATGGTTGTTTCTCCACTCGGGAAGTGTTGGAAGACTTTTCACATGGATTACAGGACTTGAATTAATCCCAGATCTTCAGCTCATGCCATTCCTCTACGTAACAAAATTAGGTTTTGGCTTTCAATTGCCAAAGTAATCTATTTTTGACACTATGGGTTCAACTCATTGATTATAAAGTGTTGCCTTAAAAATCAGTTCCAAGCAAGTTATATTTTTGAAAGGGTAGCAACTGAGCACTATGAGATCTGATTGTATGAACAGTAAGTTTCAGTCTCAGAATTGTAGGACTGAAAGTTGTAGTATATGTCATTGCAGTTGTTAGCTTTCTTTTTAGATAATGTGGTTTGGACAGCATGTAGCATTTCAGCATCACAACACGAGTGATACTGGCATCATTTCCTCCAGGATATGAATTAAAAATTCATTATCTTTGAGGGTTTGTAAAAAGCAGCTAAGCGATCAGATCTGCACAGAAAACCTTACAGGTCAAAGATTCATGGCAACTGTGTTGACAGAAGGTCGTTTACCTTCAGTTCCTTTGGAAGAATTTAAGAGCTTGTATAAAATCAAAGTTGCTAATGCAGATTCATTTAAAATGCCCGGCTCTTTCTTTCATCACCTGTTGGGTAGGGGCAGGTCAGTCATAAGATGCTGCATCTGGCTCAGCACATCCCTGAGCTACGTGCTGTTGTAAACCAGCAAAGCTGGGAAATAACTGCTACATGCTCACCCTGCTCTTGGAGTTGCCCTTCAACACCCCGCTGTTGCTTGCTCTTAGAGAGATACAGTGCAGGGTGGTGGTGTGTGCTGGCTCAGCGGAGCTTCGTCTCTGTTCCTCCTGTAAGGAAGTACCTTGACACAGCTATAAATGGGTATTTGTCCTAAGTGCTAGGCTGAAGAACTTGCATTTTATTTATAAAAAAAAGGCTTAACTGCAGCCAAGACTGCCTGTGGCGTTGGTAACAGGACTGCGCTCGTCTTCTCTTGCTTCATTTTTCAGTTTTTTACCTTGTTTTATCACTATGGGCCTTTCTAAATTCGTGAGTTATGCTGAGGCAAGTGCTGTGCATGGGGAAAACAGTGGTGGCTCAAGCTGGGTAACCATATGGACAGTAGTGATACTACCTGCTTCTCATGGGAATCTTAGGGGGTTGTATAGTCATTTCCACGTGAAAAAATTAAGAACTGCCTTGTGCCTGCTACTTTATAATATAAAGTCTGCAGGAAGAAAATATAGTTAACCTCCCGTGGCTTCTGAACAAGTCGCTATTCCCTCTCTTACCACCAATGTACCACCCATGGCTGAGGGCTGAGAAGTGAAAGCAGAATCCTAATGGGTCTGCAAAAGCAGAGCCATGACCAGTGCTCTGCTCAGGACAGAGTCCACTCCAGACAAGGGCTGGAAAGTGATCTGGCATCACATCCACTGCAGCTGAACTAGGAGCGCTGCACCCTGCTGCAGCCTTGTCCCCAGGGAGGAAGGGGCTGACTTGCTGACACCCAGTCACAACTGTCGGAGAACCTGACGGCTCACATTCGTGGAAAAAAGTACCAATTCATAAACCATAGGACTAACATAATCTGAAAGGTAGGGATGTTGAAGAATGACTGATGTTATTCCAATTAGCTAAGGGTAGATGTATTTATTTGTGACTGGCACATTCCAGAGGTGGCCAGCTTGAAACATGACCAAAACCACTACCCTCTGCAAGAGGCAAGAATGAGAAATTTTCCTGCTAACTGGGCTTTTCTGCCTCATCTAAGTGGGCTGTAGCATCTCCTGGATGTAAGTTAGGACAGGCTCTGAGCTAAACATGGGAAGCCACAGCGCTAAAGCAAAGGTAAAATGGTCTCCCTTGGTCACTAAGCCCATTGGTCCTGACACCACTGCTGGCCTTGGCCCACAGAGGCGCCCGTCTTTTCTGACCATCTGTCATTTCACAACATGGCCTGGGAATTATTTCCATACCATAGGGGTCATTGCCGAAAGGTGGCCATCACCACCACTCGGGTCTGGAAATGATGGATTGTGAAACTGTTCATTCTAAAGCCAAAGGCCTAAAACTGTAGGAAGCTTGGAACAGATTCAAAGTCAGGCCAACAAAGCATAAATCTGGGCTGAAGACGCATTTCACTCAAGATGGTTTCAGACTCTTCGCCTGGTGCTGTTCTGTACCACATCTCAGTAGCATCCACCCCAGAATGAGGCAGAGGACAGGCGGTCTGTGTGGTCAGAGCAAACCCTCTCCTGCCAGCCCACATGTTCAGACTGTTCCTGCAGCTGAGCGCTAAGCATGAAGCCGGTACCAGAGCAGCTCTTCCCTGGGAAAGGAATCAGGCAGAATCTACAACTGACAGCTCACCAGACAACTTGATTACACATGAAGGCAGCATGTAATTTGCTACTGTAGGTTGGCAGTGCAACATTCAGAGGTGGGACAAAGACAAAATGCTTCTGAGACTGTTCAGGTTAATCCAAATTATTTACTTTTTCAGTCTCCTTATTTTGCAGGCTTTAACCAGTAAACATCAGTTTAGACCCTAAGCAACAGAAGAAAGCTGTCTTCAAAACAAACAACTATCTTTACCAGTAAGTCTGTATGCTTGCAATGCAAGAATAAATGACGACCTGCTTGGGTGTGAAGCCAACTCATGGTTTTAGGGTTCTCAAATGGTTGAGCTAGTCTACCTTGCTGTGTAAAGGGCACTGTGAGGTGCTCTGACACCTTAGAGAAGTACTAAAGCCAAGGAGAACTCCAGTGCGCCAAATGCTAGACAGCTACCTGAGAGCCTCAGCTTAATGCTTACCAACACAGCACAGGAAATTACTGCTGAATATCAAAGTACTTACAAAAAAATGTTCATCCCAAGTAAAGTCCGCTAAAAGATAAAAACAGTCTATTTCTCATCACACCACGCAGCTCACCCTTTCTTGAAACATCACCTGTCCCTTCCACGCCAGGATCTGCAAGGAAAGAGACACCACAAGGCAAGCAGCACATTTTCTTCAGTATTCAAAGGGATACTCTCAGCTCCACCAGCTATTTTTTAATAGTAAATTTGTTTTCCTCGTCATTGCTTGTTTTCAAAGCACATGCTCAGAGGAGCCCAGATTGGTTTTTTTTTATCATCTTTCCTACTGCTTCCAATTTGAGCAATAGCTCCATTTTCACGTTTTTCCACAAGTTCTGCTAATAAAACAGATGCAAGTGTAGCTGCTATTTATTTACTGAGCAGCATTAGTAAGTCATCAGGACTGTAAAAAGCTCCTGGGACTAGAGCAGCCTTTGCAAGTTGGTTGCTGCTGGCACAGCATGCATTTTTGGTTTCTTCAGTCAGAAAGAAGCGCAATCTGTGTTAGTCATTACTTCCATCCAAATGCTGCAGTTGGATGATAGGTCCATGTCTTTTCACCTGAGCAGATTGAGGAGGAATCCTTTTGTTAAGTATTGTATTCTGAATGAGAGCAGCAATGCCTCTAAACTGGTTCAGTGGAACACATTTGAGGGGCAGAGATAGAAATTCAACCGTCTTTAATGATCTGGGAATCCAGCAGGTAGAAGGAGGAAGCAGAACATTGCTGATGTTGAAACATCACCCACCTGAAGGAACTTAAATGAAGTAAGTAGGTGAAATAGGAAGCAGTCCTTCCAGACACACGCATTCCCTGATCTTTGGAAGAATCATTTCTGTTATACTGGAGTAACACTCAGGTCACCTGACAAAGACAGACCGGAGTCCCTCTCTCTCGATGGTTTCTCTGTTTTATAAAAAGGTTTTTCATCTCTATGCAGACTTGAGCTCCTCAGCACAGCTGCTCTGACCTCCGCCAACGCCGGTGGTTGGTGGTCAGTGCTATAGCACAGGTCATCGTAAGCATAATTCACATTGCCGCAAGGGAAGGTCTGGAGTTTCACCAGTTCAATCCCACTGATATCCAGGTGAGGGCGGTTGCTTCGACTTGGAGATGCTGGTGATGCCCGAGAGCTCGGAGAGGAACTACAATTCCCATCAAAGCCTGAATCTTCCCGCTCTGGAGTTGCTTTGAGCTTGGAGCTGGGACTGAAGTGACAGATGTTCTCTAGCACCCACGATCCATAGGTTGGGTTCCAAAGATTTTTTGTTTTATTTTTAAGTCTGTGGGTTGGCGGATTGCTGAGCTCCAACTTCTGGTTCGAGGTCTGCTGGAACCAGGACCCACTGTTGAAATCGCTGAGGCATGGCAGGCTGGGCCCTCGAGCAGTCCAGTTGCTCAGGTTCTCCACCAGTAGCTCTTGTGGACACTGTGCAGGTTTGTGCCCAGCATGATGGGAGTCCAGTGTTTTAGGTGTTGTCTGAGGTGTGAGAGAAGGGCTTACCAACAGGGGCACGATCCCACTGGAAATGTTTGGGCGCATGACTGTACTCCCTTCATCCTCTGGTGCGGGGCCGCACTCCATGGGCAGCTCAGTGTTGATCACATCAGGGTCCTGAAGAGAGACAAGAATCAAGCATCACCAGGGTGACTCTCACACTTGCATTTTAAGAGAAATAGCTATAAGAGCAAAAGAACTTTTGGCAGAGGCTGACATCAGGTTTGGGCAATATTCCTGCACGTCGTACCAGGTGCTATGTGACATCTGGATATCACACACTGTTAGGACTTGCAGAAACGCTCTCTCATTTATGTGCTTCCTTTGAGCAGAGGCTGTGCTTTACTGAAATCAGTGGCTAATCTGGGGGCCACTCGTATATAATTTCTCCCTCAGGATGTTGCATTCAGGCCTATGGCTCTAAAGTGCTACCAGATGGTGAGCTCGCCCTGCCATCTCATTCCCCGCCTCCACTCCATACCTGTTCAGCTGTGGCTTTCGAGTTACATTAGACAAGGTCAGAATATGGACCTTGAAAGAGATCCTAAATACCTCTGCATCACAAAATGAAGGACATTTTGCTACTGAACAAGCTGAAAGCATCCACTTGCATAGGGACAGTATAATCTCATTTTGGTTGGGCTGAAGATGGGAGAGTGAGGATGGATTCTGGAAAACCCAAATGAAAAGAGCAGTTGAGCCAACAGCACCACCACAGTTAGGAAAGCGATTAGATTAGTCTGTCAGGCCTCCTCACTTGTTTTGGGCACTAAAGCTAGTGCCTTTGGATAGCTGGCATTCCAAGGATGATCATCCACCTGGATACCACAGACCTACCTGTGTGCAATACTTGATTCTTTCCAGGATGGTGGAGAAGTTTGGCCGATACTCTGGACTGTGCTGCCAGCACTGTGTCATGATCCGGTACCTTAAAATAAGTTTAAAAAAAAATTATGAATCAAGAAAGATAATTATGTAAAATATGTCTCAGTATGAAGTGATGATGGATCCAGAGGAACTGCACTCAGTACGTGGCCCTCTAGGAGGAGAGCAAAAGGGGACATGTCATTTCTGCATCCTTGGATCCCGAGCCATTAGGGGCCCACTACTTAAAGCGAATCCTGTAGTCTAAGCTGTACACAAGAGACAGTGGCTCAAGAGACATTCAACAATACCCACCTAACATTGGGGGCACTCACCATTCCCTGACTGACAGTGTGCGTTTGCCTGTGTCTAACCTGTTTGATACCCACTATCCCTTGGCCTGTGGGAGTAAGGAAATACTTACACTGGTCCTGGGCAGTTTTTTGGTGGATCCATTCTTCCTCCACTGGTGACAAATTCCAGAACTTCTTGATTGGTTTTGCAAGGGTAGGGCATGTAGCCTAGAGAGAAAATCTCCCACAGAAGGACACCAAAGGACCTGTGTCAGAAACCAGCCAACAATACCAATTAGGTTTCATTTGTGCTCCACAAACCTGGCACGAAGCTGTGTAGGTAACACCACAGCAACAACCTTTCGAAGCTGTAGGCCGACCACAGTAACGTGCAATTAGCGTGATTATGAGTCAACCTCGATATAGAAAAGCAATCAATCAAAACCTTTGCTTAAGTTCCAGAACTAGCTTTGCAGCAGTTTCAAAATATGTGAATAACTCTGAAGTTGTTCTTTCTGCTGCATTCATTATTTCTAGAGCAGGAAATGCCAGGGCACACTTTAGTCCAACTGACAAGAACTGTTACATCTGGTGTGGAGTTTGCTACCTTACTTGGGAAGACTCAAGATCTTTGAATCAGTGTTTGGGAACAGGATGCTCAAGAATAAAATCAAGAAAGAGACATCCATTGAAACTGAAAGGCCACAGCACTTATTTTTGTCATGATACAGTTGTTCTCCTTTTTTATATCCTCAGGTCAGTCAGGCAGTGTCACTCAAAATAATGCATGAATTAGAGCCAGGGGAGTCAGGAGGGTCCTGCCAGGACTTCAGCAGGGTCAGACTTTTAAGAGTCACTATTTACTGCAAAGGTGGAAGAAATTTCCAGTACACACATGTTACTTATAATAGGCTATTACAGGAACTGTAGCACTTTCCTTCAAAATATTTAGTACTGGCTGCTCACAGTTAGGCACTGATAAGCAATCCCTTGTCTTCCGGCATCACTAACAACTTCAGGAAACTGGGTCAGTGTGGCATTTAAGGGAATGTCTCAGTACAGTGTATTGAAGAAATTACTGTACAGGCAGAGACGTGTTCTTAAGCAAATGGAAAGTTTCCATTCCCCAACACCTGTGCATGAATGTGCTACTGCTGAGGGAGTGCTTCTCTAAAAGAAAGATCAAGTTACATGAAGAATCAATATATAAATATTGTTTCCTCAGCAACCAGCAAGGACTTCTGATTAAATCTGCTGTAATTTTATAGACAACAGAAAAAGATTATACAGAAGAGTAATCCTGGGTGGTACAGAGTCATTTACAAGACATACAAGCAGGACTCATCACCGATAGAAACTGAGGGGCAGATACGGAGGGTTGAGTGAAATGTCTGATGGCATTTGTCTGGATTTTTAACTGATTAAAAAAAAATTATGAATCAAGAAAGATAATTATGTAAAATATGTCTCAGTATGAAGTGATGATGGATCCAGAGGAACCTTGGGAATTATAATATATAAGATTCCTTGGGAATCTAAACTTCTTTCTCTTTTCACTTCTTTATTGTCTTCACATGATACTCTGCATTTATGTACAGTGAATTTTTATTAGCTCCATTTACATTAGATCTTCTAATTTGTAGTCAGAATTCTTTAGCCATGCTTCTACTGAATGCAGAGGGAAGTCTTCCAATAATTTTCGGGAAATTCTGTCATTTTTTAAAGGTTCCTGCTGAGCAGATATTTTTTTTTTTCTTGAGCAGTACATTTCTTGACCCTTATCGCTGAGTAGCAGAAGTGCTTAAAAGACATTTGTTACCAGGTATCAGTCTTGGAGGTGAAAATGCCCTCTAGAAAAGCTTCTGGTGGCATCCACTTGACAGGAAGCATGGCTCTTCCTCCTTTGCGGTAGTAACTTGCTCTGGCAAAGATAAAACACATGGAAAATGTCACACAGTCTGAAAGGGCTCAGATACATAAAAGATTTTATCACCACAGCAACAGAGCTGGGGACTGCATGCAGCAATGGGGGCCAAGTGAGAAAAAGGAAAAGTCATCAACACCAACAGTGCACTGAAGCAGTATTTTATACCTTCTTTGGAACTGGGAGGGAAACCGAGCATGTTGTAGGTGCACAGCTGAAGACATCAGATTTGTCAATGCTTTGCTGATGCAGCAAGTCTTACTGACATCATAAACTGAGAATTATGGTAGGCTTTTTTTAAATTTAAGTTTATTTATGATCAACTATCTAATAAACTTGCCTATGCTTGGTTTAGTGTCCACGTGTATTCGCAGTGTTCTCTATTGCCCAGTCTGGAATAAACACAGTTGAAATGCATTGGCTAATAGGCATAGATGTGTTAATTTACACTCTGGTAACACCAGGTAGTTAACTGTTAATCAAACTCAGACACATAAATAGACAGTTCCACTGCTTCAGATTCAGTTAGACAGTTCAAACTGGTCAAAATGACACAGATTATTGAGTTATTCATAGAACTGAAATGGCCTTTCACTTACCTGTAAATATCCCTGGCCATCCCAAAGTCACCAATCTTGGCTATTCGTCCTACTCCAGTGCAGGTCAAAAGGCAATTCCTTGCAGCTATATCTCTTAAGAAAGAAAAAAAAAATTATTACTTCTAATTCTAAACTCTTAACTAGCTAAAGGAATAAAGAAGGAATATCAGACCCAGCCCTGCAAGTCTTAGTTGAGTCATCTTTACATAAATGAGAAAAGCCTTATTAAAAATAAGAAATAATGTCAGCTAAACTGTAATTTTTATGAACCACAATTCCTAACCTGCATTTATATTACATCTTCCACCCAGTGTTCTCTGATCATTCCACATTCATATGCTGTTTTGCTAAGGCAGAAAACAGGGTCAGTGTCAGACCAGGAACAGATCCAACCTCTTCTGCTTCAACAGCATTACAACCAATTTCTCTCTTGCTCTATTTTTTTTTTTTTTTTAAGAGTGACATCTCAGCAGTGTCTCCAGCAGTCACAGTCTTAGTAAACTGCCTGAAAAGTCAGTGTGAGACCAGATTCCGTAAACTGTTGTTTTGGTGCTTCTGGATATCTCCCGTGGAACCAAGCAAAGCTACATATGGGAACAGCCATTTGCTGGGTGCAGGTTTAGCTTGTGGCAAATGGCAGTAATGACTGCATGGCCAAGACTGAAGGATTTTTGTTCATTTTAAATACGCATTGTGAAAAGGAACTCATTAAAAAACATAGCACTGTGGGGGTCTTGTTGACTGCCAAGAAAAACGAGCTCCTGGAACAACTCATATGTTTCTTCCCACTGCCAGCCTTGAAAAATCCCTCAGGATTTGGACGTCAAGCCCAGCTTTCTCTTCCATCATCAGCTATGACTCCTGGATGACAAGACCTGCCCTTAGAGACATCTCCACAGTCCCACTACACTACCTTTTCCCCTAGGATACCTGTTGCCTGAAATGGTAACCTTCTTCCCAACCCACTCCAAGTAACACTGACATCACTAACAAATACTAATACACAACCTGAATGAAATTCCTTCTGTACTGATTTCTTAAATTGTTGGCTAAAACAAAACAAGTGCATTCCCAGGTTGCATATACTAGAGATCTAACAGCACAAAACCTGACCCAGAGAGTTTTTTAAAAAGGGATATGCTGCTGCTAAAAGAATCAAGCACTAGTTTCTTCCATTTCTCTCCTGAAATGGAGATTGGTCTTGAGCAATAACAGCTGGCCTTTACATTTGTTGACGTAAATGTCAGAAGCTTTATGTGATGACTGCTGGGCTCTGTGACATATGATAAAAAAAAAAAAACAGGGAACATCTACCTGACAGCAGGAATGAAAATTGGTTATATAAAACGCTTGTGGAGAAAATGTCTGTGGTTTCCACTATATTTCTTGCAGCAGAAGCAAAAATTGGCCCTTATCATAAATTCAATAGATCAGGGTGGGTGGAGTTTGATATTACTATTCCAGTAAGGATTTAAAAAAAATAATGCTGTAGCAATTAACTCTGAAGTTTCCAATTAGAATACTGACCCCTTGTGTACTTATTAAGCGATCCCAGAACCAAAACTTGTTGCACGCTCTTACTGCTCTTTTTTAGTGACTCTAATTCTTTTTTTCAAAGGAATTTATTTATTGTTACAATATAAAGGAAACTGTCTCAGATGCTCTAATCATAAAGCCGTAACATATCCCATATCTCAGCCTCATGGTTTCTTGCTCCGACTGCTGCTTGACATTTGTTTTGCTCAGTTTCTCCAGCCTCTACCCACTCTTGCCTAGCTCTGCCTCTTTGCTCTGTGCAATGTCATGTGTACATACACGTGCTTGGGCGTGTGGGTGAATCAGTTGTCTGCTTGCATAACTCCAGGCTGCATGTCAGTTTAGTTAGAGCCTGTGTGACCCTGTTGTGTGCAGACCTCTCCTTTCCTTTACAGACAAGGGCTGAACTCAGCATGGAGCTCATGCTCAGAAAGGAATTGTTATACTATGCCTGGGAACATCATGAGCTGAAACAACACTTAATCAGAAACAAAGGAGTCCAATATCCAACTGGGAATTTTAAAAGACTCCCCATAATCACCTTCACCTCTTCTATAATATTTTGTTCCTATTTGAAGCCTGACATATCAACATTTTTTTCTCGACAAAAGATGAAAAAGAGACGTGAACAGACAAATAGGGGCTCCCCAAGATCACACAGCAGGTCAGCTGCTGAGCTGGAAAGGAAGCTTAGAGTCGTGTTTTTACCTCTTATTATCCCTGTTCTACCCTCCTCTAGTCAATGGCTCACATATCAGGTACCTGGGTGCTGATGGGATAGGGAAAACATTAAGTCAAGGTAGGGAAATGAGAAAAGAGAGAAATGATCCCTTTTCGTTTTACAAGCTAACACAGAGTGACACTACCATCTAGTGGACTACAGGGCTAATCTCAAATGTGTCTACATTGTAGGCACCTGGAAATTAACACTTGAAAATCGTCACTGGGAACAAAGGATTCCTTTCTCCCCAGCACGGCAAAGAGAGGTGCAGAGACTAACTCCTACCAAATACCAGTGAGACTGGCCCGGCCATCTAAGCACAAGAGAAAATCTCTGTCTCCCCCCCTGGAGATTAGTTCTGTCTCATCCACTGCAAATAGGAACTGTGTGAGCTTCACACACCTTGAGTTATATCAGAAGGGAGTGTTTCTCCTCACCTGTGGATGAAATGATTCTCTTCCAGATATTTACAGCCGCAGGCAATGTCCCTAGCTATGTTCAGCAGGTCTTGCATTGTTAGTGTGGATGGCTGATTCTGCAAAAGGACACACAGAAAATGATGAGGGAAGAATAGCAGAGTAGAAGAATATAGTTCAGGCAGGGGATAATCAGATGGAGGCAGAAGCAGGGAAAGGGAGAGACATATGTACAGTGTGGGGGAAGGGTTAAACAAGGCAGGAGCAAAAAGGAATATAAGCAGATGAAAGTAAAGCGTTAGAAAATGAGTAAACTCGTATTTAAGCCAAAAAACTTTGAGATTTCATTTCTCCTGAGCACAGTGCAGGAGTGTAACCTGGCGAGAGATTTGTGGCCTGGCCTGAGTAGCCTAGTAAAGGAGGTGGGAGACAAGTATTCCCTACTGGTGTTGGAGTCTGTGAAATTGAAAGACCGGCAAGTTTAAAAGGTGAGATGGGAGAGAAAAAAAACCCACCCATTTTTAAAGAGTGAGTTAATAAATTATCAATGGAAATTAGCACATGAACTCAGAGAGAGAGAGAGAGCACGAGTGCACATCTCTGAACCAGCAGTCAGCATTCATCAACTTATCCAGCCTTGTGGAAGGACAGAGATTACCCTCAGGAGCCGTATACAAAAAAGGGATGCTTTGCCACAGGACCTGGGGACTGGTACTAGCCCTTCTCCACCTGCACTTCCCTAAGAACAATAAAGAAGTCTTTCTCCAGGAGCCCTGCTTATTTTCATCCTGTCATTTATTTCCCCACAGGGAAATTTCCTTGGTGTTTCTCCAGGAACTTCTGTATTGCTCTCAGGAAGGGGAGGGAGAGATTACTACACTGCTGATCAAAAGTCTGTGATATCTCAAGTAAATTGTTCTCTTTAAGGCTGCTTTTGGTCCTGGATGCTGTTACTGCTGTAATTTCTCGTGCTCAAACCACAAAACATACACTATAGCCACCGAGCACCATTTTAATTGGCTAGACAAATTATTGTACAAAGCTCTTGGACATCTGCCAGGGAGAACTGCAGTTATAAAAGTAGGCATTTCTGGAAAGGAAAGCAAGAGTAAGGAGGAGAAATAGAACTTCCAGACCTTAGCTCTGCTCTGGCATTCCTCTGTCAGAAGACTGTGATGGACACGCATCTTCTCTGCAGCCAGGGAAATTTGTTGTGAAATACATTAATGATGGGGCTAGTTCTATTTTCAGAAAATGTGTACAGGGACGTTTTTTGAGTACTAAGGGGTACTTCAACTACTGTATTTGCTATCCGCCAGCATAGCAGTTAACATAGCAGCAGGTTTGCTTTCACATGATATTTTAAAAATAATTGTTCCTTACATTACTGCTATACATAATAGTCAAATAAGAGTATTTATTATTCTCTGCTGCCCACAGACTTTATCCACTCACATAAAATGTACCACTTTCACTATAAATACCAAAAATAAAGATATACAAACTCCTCCATCTGGGTGCTGTTATACCACTGTAAGTGCATTTTAATTAGTATATTTACTCCTGTATGAGGAAGAGATTAAGCTCGATCTTCCAACAACATGTTAATACCAGCATAGGATTATACACACATGAAGCTATATTGTCAGAACTATTTGGGGTGTATGTGTGTGTGGGGAGGAGGAGCTGTTCAACTGCATCATGTGCTGTGGGAGTACATAAGGCACCAGTCAGCCTCCTCCTGCCCCTGTAGGCAGCCAGCATAGAAACATCAATACAACAAGAAATAATGTAAAATCGGGCCTAACTCTCTTTTTTTTTTTAAGTCTCTACTCAACCAGAGATATATATTTATTTAACAGAGGTGCCCAGGATCACACTGTTGAGAAGCAAGAACACATATCTGAAATAAGCTATTCATTATAAGAACACTGAAACTAATTACAGAATCATCTAGGTTGGAAAAGACCTTGAAGATCATCTAGTCCAACCATAAATTAACTCCAAATATTCACTGTACTTGGTTGGCAGCAATATAGTATTAGAAATCAGAGATAATTTGCAAAATCCAATATTTATCATTAAAATAACAAATACTATAATCAACCACAAGCCTAGCAGGGAAGTTATCTCACCACCCTGGGTCGATTCTGCCGAAGAAAGCTTTTCATATCTCCTCCAGCCATGAGCTCAAGCAGAATGAAGCGAGGCAGCGTCTGTAGGCTAACGCCGATGCACTGCACGATGTTTTGGTGATTGAACTTACTGAAAACCAAGATAACAGCAACATGGAATAGAAAGACAACATTAGTACCTGGCCAACACCCAGCACACTCACTGTGCCTTGAGCTTTGACGACTTGGATTGAAGCAAATCCTGATGCAGTACAAGTTACTAAACAAATCCCTGCTTCAGCCATATCAAAATGCCTCTCTGATTATGACAGCCCCAAGATCGGGGTTATACGTGGCTTTGCCCATGAAAAGCTTTCAACAGAAGGTATGAAAAGCTGAAAGCAAAGCAGAGCCTTCTGTCTGCAAAGAGAAAATTTAATGGACATGCTGACTGAAATATAGGGGTGATGTGAGAGGGAAAAGAAAGCTAAGCACTTCAAATATGCAAATATTATTCACATTTCTGAAAGAAAATCCCAGCCAGTGGGGATTTTAATTCAGCTTTGGTTATGTTAAATATACTGCTGTCTAATTGGTGGATTCAGTTCAGTATCTAGTCTGCCAAAGCGGGATTCAGCTAATATTTACTGCAGCAGCTGCTTATGTGATGGATCTCTGCCTCTTAAAAGAAAGCTGAGATTGTCAAGAAGCTCAGTAAGCTCAGTCATTAGAAAGCACCATCTTCCTTGGAGAGTGATTACCTGGATAATACAGGAACTAAAAATGGAAAGGAAGTTGGGAAAGAGAAAGAGTCATATGCTACTAAGTGAATCGTTTGAAATTGCTCTTTAAATAAAACATACATCAGTGTGACCTCCTGTTCAGCTGCCAAAGTTCTTCCAGACTTTAGGAAGTGGCACTGTGTCATGAGATTCAGGCTTTAATAGCAGAAAACTAGCATCTAGGTATGAGCTGGGCCAGACAATAAGAAGAGGAACTTTGTATTGCACAAATTAAAAATTAGTAAGTTCTAATCACTTGCAATCATCCCCAACTATACTAGTATTTTAAAGTCACCCTTGACTATACTATTGTTTGAAGCTTATGGATTTGGGTTAATTAGGTAAACTCCAAGACTGGAATACTTAAAGTACAGGTGGTAATAGGAATGGCTGGCTGTCACCTTTTCCAGGCAGATTTTATAGATCTCAGAGTTCACTGTCAGAGGGTTGTGCGGATGGGACCTTATAAAGGTTCTGTCAAGCTTGCACAGACATCAAGAGCCAGAACACCTCTAAGAGAAGTGGCCACACCGGGAGAAGGAAGGGCTGTGTTCCAGCTCTGCAAGCTACACACACAGAGCCATATTTACTACCTTAAACCTACAGCACTTTCAGAGTGTCTCACCCAGCTATTTTTGTGCAAAGAAAGGTAAAAGCCCAGGACCTCCGCTACAAAGAATGCTTACTTATGGCAAACAGCTCCACAGATAAGAAAAGCAAAAAGGCTGCACGTACGCTTAGCCTTAGACTGAAAAGACTTAGACTGAAAGCCACAGTGGGAAAAGCTTTTCGCACTTTCTCCTTCTTTAGCTGCCAAACCTGCTCCTATAAAAACTCTTACTTTTATTTGCAAAGAGAGAATACAGTTTAAGCCCTAGCTTCCAAGCCTGAAAATGTACCTCCCTGGCACAGCCTGTGTTGTACCACCTTGGTGCTAGTCTTGCAGAGGCTGAACATCTTGAGCTTTCCTATTGCTTTCCATTTCATCACTGAAAATTTGTTTTAGCAAGAGTGTTGGGACAGGATTTATATTTAGTAAAAGGCCATGGGATTCTTTGAAAATGAAAACATTTCAAATGCAGAACATGTTTGTAGAAAAATGTGCCTTTTTTGCTCCTCCTTTTGCTCCTCATGACCAACAGAACCATCCAGCAGAAATTTTTGTTGAGATGTTGTACTGGTTTTGGGTGGGATAGTGTTAATTTTCTTCACAGTAGCTCATATGGTGCTATGTTTTGGATTTGTGATCAAAACAGTGTTGATAACACCTTGATATTTTAGCTATTGCTGAGCAGTGCTTACACAGCGTTAAGGCATCTGACACCAACCCACCCATGAGTGGGCTGGAGGGGCACAAGAAGTTGGGAGGGGGACAACAGCCGGGACAGCTGACCCCAGGGACGTCCCACACTGTGTGACGTCGTGCTCGGCACATCCAGCCAGGGGAAGAAGGAGGAAAGGGGGGTCATTCAGAGTTTGGCATTTACCTTCCCCAGTAACCCTTAGGCATGATGAAGTCCTGCTTTCCTGGAAATGGCTGAACACCTGCCTGACAATGGGAAGCAGTGAACGAATTTTTTACATTACTTTGCTTGCGCAAGCAGAATTTGCTTTACCTATTATGCTGGTTTTATCTCAACCCATGAGTTTTCTTGCCCTTCTGATTGTCTTCCCCATCTCACTGCTGTGTGGGGCTGAGTTGCCTACTGGCATTAAACCACAAGAGATGTGCGACAAAAGAACCTCAGTTACCTTGTCTGAGATGAACAAGTAGCTGAAACCAGTAATTCATATACTACTAAAACGCCATCTGGTGAAAAATAACTCTGGATTTCTTCTCTGAATCCAAACAAGTGGATAAATGATTCCTATTACCTACAATATGTTTTTTCCCCCCTGCCCACCACCAATATAAAAACCTTAAACTATACCTGATAATCAATGCTTCCATCAGGAAATCCATCTCATCCTGCTCAGAGCAGACTTCTGGCAGTGTCTGTTGAGAGGTAAAGATGGTGAGGACCATCCCACCAAAGTATTGAGAGCATTTAGGTGACCACCAAAGGAAAAAAAAAAATAAATAGAATGAGCATGTAACATGTGAATGACTTCAAGAATCTACGAGGAGGGGCTCATCTTTTCAGTACCCAGTTTATTGGACTGTCAGTTACTCATTTGGTCGTTAAAGTTAGAAGAGAAAGCTGGTGACCTATTTGGGGGGGGGGGTTGTGTGTGTGCATTTAAATTTATGCAGTGTTCTGGAGTAAAATAGCCTCAGGTACACATCAAGAAAGGCATTAGGTGTGGAATTATGGGTCTAGTAAGCCCTTTAAAATGACAGGTGTTAATTTATTCTCCTTTTTCTATATGTCTTCTGTGTCATATGACACATACAGCCACATGATTGAAATAATTGTGTCATGTGGCCGTATAGCTTTCTCTCTTGCCAGCAGATTTAGACAGCGTCTGCCACTGATAACCACGAACTGGGAGCGCGGGCAGCAGTAGAAGCAGCGCCCGCTACTGTGCCCACTGTTTTAACGTTATGGGACGGTTTGGCCACGGCTGTGTGTAGTCCCTGCTGCCAAACTGCATGCAGAGAGGTGGGGCATTTACTGCCTAGCGTGCTGAGGCTGATGGAGAAAACAGGTCTTGCCATCAGTAGCATGGGCTACAGAAGACAGGGTTGCATTATGTTATCTGAAAGAAGTGATTGCTTCACACAGGACAGCGCAGATGATCTATTAAATTGGTGGAATATCCACAAACAATATGTAGAGTATGTAGCCAATATATTTTTAAATTTATTTCCAGTCTACATCTGCTTCTTCTGCAAAGTCAGATCAGGACTGATAGGCTCCATCATGAAGCAAGGTGAGCATGGTCACAGCTTGGCCCCCATACTCTACCAGTTTCCAGCAGGGAGAAGAGCAGCCTTTTGGTGATGTTCAGGGTGTCACTTTGCGGGGAAAAGGGTGAGCAAAGGGGCAGGTGGGCAGGCAGGGCCCTAACAAGTAGCCATCATTGCTGAGACTGTCAAAACTGATGACATTCTCCTTGGATTATCACAAGTGAACAACATGCTGATCTGCTTCTGTTTGCCACTGTGCTGTGGTGCTTCCTCCAGTCTGGACAGTGAAACTGGCTTGGGCAGTTACAGCTGCTTGCTAGTGTCTGTTCTGGGTTTTCATACACATGCACATTTGTTCAGTGGCACAGGGAAGTTCATAACAAAGTGTCATAATGCATGATCCTTTCATTTTTTCTTTTAAAGAGGGTTTTGAAAGAACAAATAACAATAGAACTTCTTTTTATGAATGAGCGCTACGTTTTGGGCTGAACTCATAGAAGTAGATTTGGTTCTGTGAGTCACAAGCTTATAAAAGAACAAAAGCAGGCTATGAGCATCCTTCGGGGCTGAGTAACTGACAAATCCTGAGGCAACAGCAGTAATTTCACAGAAAACCAGACTGTTATCTCTTGCCATTAATGCCATAGAAATTAGCATGATATCACAATAAATATTCACAGCAGCATATTTAACGCTGTGCGATAATAGGAAATTTTTGCATATGGCAGACAAACACTACTCTCAGTATAAAGGAAAGGTAACTGAGAAACAATACAAATTCTTAAATATGATAATGTCATGTGAAAAACTCAGGAAAAAGCACTTAAAATCACTGAAATGCAGAAGTAATAATATTTAAGCATTACTGTAGATGTTTGCTATTTGCTGTCACATAAATGCTTCATACTAACATTCTGCCAGGGTTTTCTTTAGGTAAGATTTAGAAATCCCCTTCTAGTCCACAATGCCCCCAAAATTTTATTTGTTGCTATTTTTTCCCCTTAAGTTTCTATTTGGCTTGGCTACTCAGATCTCCAAATCATTGTGGCAGAAAAGCCATTGTGGCAGATTCTCTGCTGGGGTGAACTGCTGGTTCTGTGTTGATTTCAAGGGAGCTATATTTGTTTATGTTGATAAAGAATTTTGTATTTTAACTAATCATATTATGCAGTCTCCAGGTGACTAATTCACAAAACTTCCCATCTGAGGGCAGTGATTCTATTTGACCTGAGCAACAGCAATGGAGCTTACAGAACAGATTGCCTTTTTTAGATTCTTCTCCTAGTTACACCACAACTTACAGCCATTAGGCATGCAGCAAACAAGACAGATGCTTTACTTTCAGCCTGCTCCTCGTGTCATACAGCTTAAAAATCAAAGTTTAGAATTCCTGGATGCAGCAATGCGTGGAAACTTGCACCACACACATGCATATGTCATTATGTGATAATAAGATAATATGGTTCTTATGGGTAATTATTGTTGTATAAGAAATTTGTGGGTACTGACCTTGATAGCGACTTGAAGAGGGTTGGGATCCCCTGCAATGCCTACCACAGTTCCCTCATAAACCTCACCAAATGCTCCATGTCCTAGTGCCCTGGAAGAGAGAAAAAAGAGATAACAGATGATATTATGCCCCTGGATCCAGCGTTGGCCGAGCTCTTTTTTTCATCCAGTCCAAGAATAGGATTAGAACCTGCTGTAGTAGATGGACTCAACAACAGAGTTTTGTTTTCATCTCAAAGCTTCTGAAAATGACTTCTCAGTATTTTCTGTCACTAAAGCAGGGAGGCTGGGTCCTTAATGGTTTTGAACAAATAAAGCAGCCTGCTCAATCCTAGGGCCCAATCACCAAGTACGGCAACAGCAAGGCAAGAAAGAGCTGGAGAACAACAGAATGAGATAGCTGCAAACTGACGTCTTCAGGAGACAGCACATAAGAATTATCAAGTTTTTTCTTCTAAAGCTTACATAACTTTGATCAATATCATCTGGATGGTATGGAGCCAAAGAGCAACCCAGCATGTATTTCCTTGTGACAGGAAATGCTGGGAAAGAAATACTGCTATTGGGTTGGAAGGGAGTTACTGCCAGGTGGCAAGTGTCATCCAGCACATCATATGAAAACACAGAGGTGAACAGGTGCTCTGTGTGGGAGCATGGAACAGGAGACCCAGGAACTTATAGTTCTGTTTGAGAACTTGTGGAATCAAAATATCTTATAGAACATAGTGTCACGTCTACCATATTTTGGCTGGCTTAGACCAGGTGCTTTCCAGTTAGTCAGGCAGGTGGCCCTTGTTTTCTTGTCCTGGATACTTGATGAGGAGTAAAACAAGCATGTGAGCCCTACTTCTGCCTTTGCTTCAGGCTGCCTTTCCTCTCCTGTGCCAGAAAGAAAGCTCTGCAGCAAACCTTACCGAAGCAGAGAGATGTTTTTCCGTGGGATTTCCTTCAGCTCGCTTAGGGTGGCAGCCTTCCCTGCAAAGCAGTAGTTGGGGTTGTAATCTGTCATGATGGTCGATGTGCGGATTTTGCTCAGTTTATACTCTGGGCTCTGAAGTCGTGCCCTGGCTCCTTCCAGCTGCTGCTTCTTAAGGTGGTAAACTGCAGGTGAGGAGGCAAATAAAAATGCACAAACAAGATCAACACTTGGAGAGACAAGATAATGCTGGCCACACAGAACAGAAAGAAACCAACTCCATAATTATAAATGCTTAAGAAGTGTTTTTAGTTCACGAGTATCATGCTCTTTTCCACATTCTGTAGTGATTTAATACTGGATATGCAAACAGTCTTAGTAATGTAGAGCAACTTAGGTTTCTTCTGATCTTTGTATATTGGCTGAGGAAATGGTGCTCCACAAGACATCTTGCTGGCATCGAGTCCCGAAAAGCATACCATCTCCCTGAATGAATTATATGTTTAATTACAGACTGCGAATTCAGCCTATATAGCAGTGGCTGCTGCAGAAACACCTGCTAAGAAGGCTCTCCAAGCTCTTTTCTCTGTAGAAAATACCAGGACAGAGCAGTCCTGGTAATGTCCTTTGGGGCTATGCTTGTGCCTAACTGTGGGGTTGTGATGTTTTCTATCGCTTCTTTCTCCCTGTCCCTCTGATCCACTTGGGAGACCACAACACTCTAGCTTTAAGTATTAAAAGTAGTGGTGTATTGTTGGGTGGTTGCCTTTTGTCTAATTTAGCTGGGAAAAGACACGTCAAAGGGTGATAAGGAGTAAGCGTTTCTTACTGATAGATAGGCTACCACAAGTGAGGATCATTCCAAGCACCACAATCACAGTCACCACAGCTAGGAGGAGTGGGAGAGGCAGGTGTCCCTCTGGGATAGGAGCCTGGGGCACTGGAAAAAGAAAAATAGAGGTGCATTAATCAGAAAGCAACCAGAGTTGCTGTAAACCATCCCTCTGAGGGCTGCTCCCATTTCAGAAAACAATACAGAGATCATGGCCAGGCCATCTTATAAAAATTACAGCAAATCCCTCTAGCCCTGGAGGTTGAAAAAAAAACCTAAATAATTTAAAAAATATTGTGAAGATAGAAAACTAACTGATAAATCATGGGTTTCTTATCCATTCTTAATTTTTTGGGGGTAATATCACTGCTCACAAGATGTAACACTCTACAGCCTTTATGCTTTGGAGTTCCAAAAGACTGGATCTGGAAATAACGATGAATACCAGGCATCAGCTGAACAGGCACAGTGGAAGGAAGTAATCTGTGGCTTAAATAACTCAGCAGTAGGCGGTATGTTATACCAGAGGGGTATTTACGCTTAAATATCTGATACACTGTACCCATTCAGGAAATTTACACTGTGTCTCTTTATGGGTGTTTTACCTTCTACCTAATCGAAACCTGAATGTTGGAGATGATGACAGAGATGCAGCTCAGTGTGTAAGGAAAGGACATCAGGAATTTTCAGTCGTACGTTTGACTGACATTTCTCATAACACCGCGTTCACTGGAGCCACTAGCTCTCACTTGAGGAACTGACAATCACAAAAACCAGGAGAGGTGATAGAAAGAATACAGATGTTATCCAATGAGGCTAAAACTTCACATCTTACCAGTGCAGGTGACGTTGTCATTGGCTAGCACAGCCCCCATCTCACATTGGCAGACTGGCAGGTTGGTGTCAGGGTCCCGCTTACAGTTGTCTGAGTGGCAGTGGCTGCAGTTAAGATAGATCTGAACCTCCACCTCACCGTGACTCTCCATGGCTGAGCAAGGAATTAGACACAACAGGTGGGCTTAGTTCAGTTTTTCCCATCTTGTTCTGGTAAGGAAAAAAAAAACCCAGACCCAGCAGGCACACAAATTCTCTCCTCCTCTGCAGGAGATCAGATAGTCCAACAGAGTGTGGACACGTCAGAAACCTGATGGGGGCCAGGATGGAAGAAGGTATTGGGTCCTCTGAGCAAAGAGAGGTCTTGAAGTGAATTGTGGAAATCTGGAAATGTCTGGGACTGAGGATATGCAGTTGAACCTGATGACTGGTGTTTCTCCTGGCTTAGAGATTGTGAGGAAAAAGGTCCTAGAACACTAGAAATATTTAAAGAAACAACCACAGCTAAAGATCTGACCTGCAGAGTAAAATATGCCTGAATGAAATGCATTAGGCAGCAAAGACAGGAGAAGAGGGAGCAGGAAAGAAGAAATAGAGAAGAAGGAAAAAGGAGGAAGAAAAGAACTAAGAGGAATAAGAAGTATGTTGTACCTGCCAGGGGATGCAAGAAGATCTCTCCAATGGGGTTCACAAAAGAGATTCCATCCTGCCCACCAGCTGTGATATCATCGTTGTCAGAGGCATGGCCCCCTGGGGAAAGAAGAGAATGGCTACCTGATCACTGCTGCACGCTGCAAAAAAAGTGATGCCTCCGAAGTGTTGCATTCATTCCTGGCTCTTATCACCTGGGGTCACTCTGCAACCTTCCAGTGATATTAATATGTATAATGTCCTCGATGGATAAATGCTCACTTGACCCAGACAGTACCAAGCTTAGTGAACTGACTTATTCCAGTGTAGGTTTCTCAGTTCAGAAAGTTAAAAATATATTTGCTTTAAACAGAAAAAAAGAAATGGAACATTTTCCCTGGGCAACTTGGGAATGAATGAAGGGGTGATTCAGCACACCTTTCAAATACTAAATGACACAGGAACACTTCTATAACCTTGATTTCCCCAATTAAAGAGAGGTGGTGGGGAGTAGGGCAGGTTTCATACTGTTCAGCTTGAAGTATCTGTGAATCACCTTCTGCAGCAGTGTACCTCTGCCCTAAGAGCTCTAGCCCTTAACTGCAGATGCTCTGAAGGGTACAAAATTAGACATCATGACTATCCCTCTAGCACTTACCTCTATAGCCTCCGCCTCCTCCACCAGAAGTACAAGCACCTCCTCCCCCACCGAAGCCACCAGAGGTGGCCCACTGAAGCTTGGTTAGTGCTTGGGGACAAGCTTGACCCCCTTCTCCACCTTCCAGAAGGGATTTCCCAGCCTGAGGAAGCAGACTCTCATCTTGCCACCCTCCACCTCCACCTTCGGTCAGAGATTGAGAAAACAAAACAGGAACAGGTGAGGGAAGCACAAGCAGAGGAAAGTAGGAGAGATACTGTAGAGACAGAGATTGGCCCTTATTAATTTCTTACATGCCTGCATTCAAGTTAACTCTTTAAGGTTAAGAGAATATACAGACAAGCTCCTTGTTGCCACGGGTAGTTACAAAGTGGAAATCTAATGCACAACCTGTGGTATGTGTTGCATAACCAGCACCTTAGCACCAATTTCTAGTGGTGTTAGGGAAATAAGGAGCCCACCACTCCCCTTTGGAATAACTGGTTAGGGTTTTCAGTCATGTGAGATGCTGAGTTCCCTGGGGAAGTAAAATTAAACAGGATTTCCTCATCTCCCTCTAGTGGTCACTCTATAAGTCTGTTACAGCAGGAGATGGAGAGCCACTGGATTTTTTTGTCTCAGGAATGGCTTCTAGGCACAGCTGTTACAAGATCATAAAAAAAGCTGCCATTTCTAGTATAATTCCATAATGTATTTCTTGTTATTAGGGTTTCAGGGGAGTAAGAGGGGAAAAGTCTTCCTCTTATGGAGTGGGCTCTATCCCCCAAACATAATTTTTGCTGAGCTATTTCACAGAAGAGAGGAGTCCTCCTATAGCCTCCGCTGGAGCACTCATCACCTGTCCTATGCATTCTCTTTTATCTTAGTGGTGACACACCATATAAGAAGACATCTGTTATAGACTACCAACCTATCTCTAACTTCTGCCACAGAAAAATTCCAAGAGATCAAAAAGAAGCTTCTCACTTCATGCCTACAGGACAATGTGTGTATTCATCCCTGTGATTCAGACCTTGTGTGGTTTTAATGTCTCACCTGCTGCCCCAGTCCTCCCGCTGACTCCAGGTACTGCAGTGTTGTTCTCAAATTGCTCCAGGGGTGCATCATCCAGGGAGCTGTCCTGAGCCTTCAGGTAGGCTTTTCCTCCTCCTCCTGCTGCGATGAGCAAAGGTTCGAAAATCCCATCCTTCTGCTGGAAAACCCCCCATCAAACATCAGAAAAACTTCACATCCCTTGGATAAGCAAACTCACACAAACTCATCAAAAAGCGTGAAAGCATGCCAAAGAAGAGTGGCCCAAGGCCAGTGCAATGCTACTGATTGTTTCCTAAATTCATTACAAAAATGTTTTACATCGTGTTCCTGTGTGCAAAAGTAACTGTTTAACTGAACACCAAGGTTTGGGGACTTAATTTTTCTTTAGGACTGCCAGTATTAAAGTGGGATCCTGGTGTGATTCCCAGACCTGAACTGTCAAGAACTGAGGAACCAGTTCAACTAGCTTAGTGACAATGACAAGTATGATCAAGGATATGAAAAGAGATAAAGAATTTAAATTAAAAAGACAAAAAGACAAAGAAGACAAAGAGAGACAGAAGGGGAG